TATTCATGAAACTTTTTCTGTTTATAACTTTTTTATAAACAATGAGCGACGGCTAAAAGCTTCATATTGTTACTCAGGAAGGTAATCTTAATAACATATGTGAAAAAGAAGCCGATCGGAGGGGGCTCCCCTATTCTGTACATTTACCAAAGAGAAATACTATATATATATACAGGTGACGGGGCTAGCCCCGTCACATACAGGTAAATGTTTGTTTCAGGAATTTGTGTATCAAACAATAAATAAGAGTCTAAAAGAGAGAAGAGATGGTGCTGACCAAAATATTATATGCTTCTTTAGACTCATTTTTATTTAGAAATTAATAATTTATTTTTACAAGAATGTAAACAGAATATCACAGTCTCAATACCTTTCAATTCTTTTTATTTCTAGTGTTACGTCCTGGCCCACGGTTACGGTCGGGCTATGGTGGAGTAACAGAGAGTTGTCGTTTCTCCGCACAGCAGGTTGGCGATCACGCTGCAACAGAGTCGAGCGAGTTTGCTTATGTTTGTCGACAGGTCAACGGCGTACGCCGATCTTACTCTGTCTAGCGAACACTCACTCGTTGGTCTCTTTTCAAGTCTGGAGAATTAACTCCACGGACTAAGGACAAGACCGTGCGATCAATTGAGGATGTGGGATGATGAGAGGTCGTCTTACTTAAAGGGAGAAATTATGATACATATGATATTAATTTATTCATTTAATGGGTGTTACAATTTTGAGATGTGTATTTGTGTGGATGAATGTGGTATCGCGAGTTTTACATTTAAACGGAGGGTCATCGCTCGGAAACTAGAGAGGGGGAATACATGTATATGCGTGTATGAGTGACGCGATGTGTGTGTGAGGGGCCTCCGGCGGGGTTTTACAGATGTAACTGTGTCGGTAGCATGTTTAAGACGCCGAATCGTGGGATAGGAATTATTCAAGGTCTCTTTCTATTATTTCCTGGATTTTTGCGGAACTTGGAGGGAATATTGTATAAAAATGGTGGACGGGAACTAAGCGGATATCATCTATATAAGGGAATTTAACTGGAAGGAGTTTTCTAGCTGGAGTGGTGGTTATTACCCGGAAGATTTCGGGGGGATCTGTTGTTAGAGGGTCAAGAACAAAGGGGATTCTTTCCGGATTTGCTTTTTTGTAGGTGGAGGCTAATCGGAGAAAGTGTTGAAATCTAGGATCGAGCGGAGGAGTGGTTGATCGTATCGAATCGGAGGACTTATCATCTACGGGTTCGTCTCTGGATGTAGATGGTTCGGGGGAGGAGAACGAGGGGGAGATGGAGGAGTCGGCGCGAATTGCAGATCCGCGGGATTTTCTGCGGGAGGGTCGGAAGTTACAGGTGACTAAGAGGGAATTTCATACCACGAATCGTCGTGTGTATGTGTATCTGTGTGTGCGTGTTCCGAGAGTGTCGGTGGGTGTGAGTGCGCGTGCAATTTATTTATATGTATATCGGTGGGGTTTTCTATCCTATTGTCGCTGCCGGAATCGTCTCCTAATGTCGGAGGGGAGGTGGCGTCAATGGGCCTGGTCGGTTCCGCTTCGTCTTGCGCGAGCGCTGCTGCTCGTCGCAATTTTGCGTTGCGTCGGTAGCGCTCGGCCTTTTTACCCGCTCGCAAAATTCTCTGCCGGGGTTCCACTTAAACGATTTTATGCGATTACAATTTATGTGTTTGTTTTTTGTTCTTGATTGGCTTCGCGACCGTTATCGGAGATGTCGAGTCGTGTTTACCACGTGGTTTAGGAAAGAAAATGAAGAAAAGAAAAAAAAAAACTTCGGCTGCCACCCGAGACGGTCATACACCGCGAGTAGCCCTTCCAAAACTTCGGCTGCCACCCAAGACGGCTATACACCGCGAGTAGCTCTTTCAAAACTTCGGCTGCCACCCAAGACGGCTATACACCGCGAGTAGCCCTTCCAAAATTTCGGCTGCCACCCAAGACGGTTACACACCGCGAGTAGCCCTTCCAAAATTTCAGCTGCCACCCAAGACGGTTACACACTGCGAGTAGCCCTTCCGAAAATTTTGGCTGCCACCCAAGACGGTTACACACCGCGAGTAGCCCTTCCAAAACTTTTGGCTGCCACCCAAGACGGTTACACACCGCGAGTAGCCCTTCCGAATTTTTATAGATTTGTTTAATTTGTTTGTTCTCGATATCTCAAAAAATCAATCGCGATGTCAGTTTTTTGGTTTCGCGAAAAGTGGAACCTCCGTATATATAATGGTGTGGACTTACTACTTGAGAGAGGGTGTCCCTCGAGCTCCTCGGTATTCAGGGCCTCCGCCCAAGACGAGCACTCACCAGGGCCATAATACTAGAGGTCCCTGATGAGGACAGCGACACCAAGGCGGAGGCGTTGTACAACGCGATGCTCCCCTTGGTGTCCGAGAAGGGGGGACGACTCGCGAGACCAACGAAGACCGTTGAACTACGTGTCCGAGGTCTCGACAAGTCAATCTCCCCAGAAGAAATCAAGGAAGCTGTGGCGTCCGCCGGGGGCTGCCGGTCGACCGAGGTTAAGGTCGGCCAACCTCGTGCCTCCCCTGGTGGGCTGTCCACATCATGGGTGCAGTGCCCACCGACCGCGGCCCAAAAAGTCGTCGAGGCTGGGACGCTCAGGGTCGGCTGGGTACGTGCACCCATTGAGGTACTGGAGAGGCGTCCTCTCCAGTGCCACAGGTGTCTCCGGCGCGGGCACGTGATGGCCGCGTGCACCTTTACCGCGCCGGAAGAAGACAGAAGGGGCCGCTGCTTCAACTGCGGCGACAGGGGTCACAGGGTGTCAACGTGCACGTCAGCACCCAAGTGCCCCCTATGCGCGGATCTCGGGCGTCCCGCAAACCACCGCCTGGGAGGCAGAGCGTGCGCTCCTGCCCCCGGCAAGGGTAAACGGGCGCCCAAAACCACACAGAAGAGTGGCGTTCAATCCACCACTCCTCAGGTAGAAGGACCGGCCGCTGTACCATCAACTGCAGCGTCCTCCAGTGAGGGGATTGCACCTCCCTCCCCTCCTGAGAGCAGAGCCCTGGAGGAGGATGTAATGGACACAACATAATGTCGTTGCTCCTCCAGGGCAATCTAAATCACGCCCGCGAGGCTCAGGACCTCTTGGTGCATAGCCTCGCGGAGCTAGATGGCTGTATCGCGGTGGCGGCTGAGCCTTACTCCGTCCCAGACCACCCGTCGTGGCTGGGGTCGAAAGATGGCTCGGTCGCCTTACACTTCAGGTGGGGGCATGCGTCCACCTTCTTCTCCCCCCTCGAAAAGGGAGAGGGGTTCGTCGCGTGCCAATGGGGGGAACTGGCGATCGTGGGGTGTTACTTTTCCCCCACGAGGCCCTTCCACGAGTTCGAGGAGTTCCTAAACGGACTGGAGCGGGTGATACGCCGTCTCCAGCCTTGTCCTTTACTGGTCCTGGGGGACTTTAACGCCAAGTCGGTGACCTGGGGCTCCCCCAGGACCAATGTACGTGGAAGGGCCCTCGAAGAATGCATGGCGACCTGCGGTTTTGCCACAGTCAATGAGGGCACGCAACACACGTGCGTAAGGCGCAACGGGGGATCTATCGTCGACGTGACATTTGCTTCCCCGTCCGCCGTTGCGCGTGTGTCCGAGTGGAAGGTCAGGAACGATTTGGATACCCTCTCCGATCATCGTTACATTACGATGAAAGTCTCCGAGCTCCCTGGCCCCCCTCGGGGTCACCGCGGGGAAAAACGACACCCCCGCTCCTAAGGGTGGGTCCTTAGAAAACTGGACCCGAGCACCCTGTCCGCCGCTGCTCAGGCCGCGGCCTGGCCAAGCCCACCGGCCGGGCCGCGCGACCTCCGAGCGGAGCTCCGGTGGTTCCGCGAGACGTTGGTCATGATCTGCGACGCGGCCATGCCACGTTCTTGCGGGCCACCGAGTCGGAGGTCCGTGTACTGGTGGTCGGAAGAGATAGCCGATCTCCGAAGGGCGAGCGTTCGAGCCCACCACCGGTACACACATGCCCGTCGCCGACTCCATCGCGGCGACGAGGCAATCCGAGCAGCGGAGGCGGCCTACGAGGGCTATCGCACCGCGCGCAAAGCCCTCAGAGTCGCCATTAGAAAGGCAAAGTCCCGAGCGTGGCAGGAGCTCCTCGAGGCAATCGACGCGGATCCATGGGGCCGCCCATACCGTTTGGTAATGGGCAAGTTACGCCCCTGGACCCCGCCGGTCACGGAAAGCCTGGATCCCCAGTTGTTGTAGAGGGTGGTCTCAACCCTCTTCCCCGGCGGAGGAGGCACTTGGCCCTCCCAGCAGCCGGAGCTGGACCACCCGGTTGAGTGGTCCAATGAACTGGGGGTCACAGAAGAGGAGTTCCGCCGGGCCGTCCGTCGGATGACGAGGAAGAACACCGCTCCCGGTCCCGACGGCGTGCCCGGCAAAGTATTGGGCTTTGCCTTCGGACAAGGTCCCTTAGGTGAGCGCCTCAGGCAGATCCTGACAGACTGCCTGAGGACCAGCTGGTTCCCTCCGGATTGGAAGCAAGCAAAACTGGTTTTGCTCCGCAAAGGAGGAAGGCCTGCGGACTCGCCATCCGCGTACCGGCCGATTTGTTTACTCGACGAGGCGGGCAAGCTTCTGGAGCGCATTGTTGCCAACCGCCTCGTCGAGCACCTGTCACGGGAGGGTCCCGACCTGGCCGACTGTCAGTACGGATTCCGTGGGGGACGCTCAACGGTGAACGCTGTGTCCCACCTCAAGTCCCTCACGGAGACGTCAACCAGGCAGGGGAGGAGGGCGTTGGCAGTATCTCTTGATATCTCCAACGCCTTCAATTCCCTCCCCTGGGACAGTATAAGGTGGGCTCTGGATCGTCACAGAGTCCCATCCTATCTGATTAGGCTCCTCGGAGACTACTTCCGTGGCAGAGAGATCAGATATACCGGCCGGTACGGATCACCGCAGCGAAGGAGGATGTACCGCGGGGTTCCAGGGGTCAGTTCTTGGCCCGTTGGTGTGGAACCTCGGATACAACGCGGTGATCCAGACCGCGCTCCCCAGAGGGCTATCAGTCATCTGCTACGCAGATGACACCTTGATAGTTGCCTCTGAAGACGATTGGAGCAAAACCAGACTGCTTGCAGAGGTCGGGACGAATTGCGTCGTTGACCGCATTGAGAGACTGGGCCTCAAAGTGGCCGTCCACAAAACGGAAGCCATGTGATTCTTCAACCACCTCCGTGGACGGCCCCCAGCGCTCGGTCTCTCCGTAGGTGAGGCACGGGTCGAGGTAAGTACGACTATAAAGTACCTTGGTCTTCACCTCGACCCGAAGTGGCGCTTCGACGAGCACTTTGCTCGCCTGGCCCCCCGGGTTCGGAAGGTCGCCAACGCCCTGGCGCGCGTTCAGCCGAACCTTGGGGGACCGAAGGGTGATACTCTATTGACCACAGTACGATTCGACACCGCTCGATTCGACACAGATTTATTCGACACGAAATTATTCGACACCGTACGATTCGACACGAAATTATTCGACACCGTACGATTCGACACGAAATTATTTGACACCGTACGATT